GGTGTGGACGCTCGGATGCCGTTTCTGTTGGCCGGTCGGTCTGTGCAGTGTGTCCGTCCAGTGGGTCTTTCTTGCCATCCCGCTGGGCTTGCCTGGCGCCGAGTTTCCTGGCTCGTCGCCCCTTGTGTGCCCCGCGGGGCTTTGCAGCACCGGGAGCTTCAGCAGGGGAGCTCACCTGCCCAACCTGGGGCGTCTGACCTTATGCTCAGCCGGGAACGCTCCTTTCCACCACCACTCACCAAGGCGATGCCCGACTTCCGAAGCCAGCTCAAATGCCGCCTCCTCTGGGAAGCCAGCAGGTGAGCTCCGGCTTCCAGGCGCCAGCACATCGCTGTTCCTTGCACACACAGCGCCGCCCGAGGGGGATCCTTGTAGTCCAGGTTAGGGGGATCTGGAAGCCCGGGGCCAGGCACGGGAGCCACAAATGGCAGCCACACGCGAAGTTTCAGATTTGCCAGCACCCACGTAGGAGCCCTGTTCCAGCAGCAGTAACCATCACGGAGACGATGAATTAATGAGGTATTTTCCGTTCTCTCACCTGCCCCAAGAGTACTCAGTACAGCTCACATCCCACCCGCAGTTTGGACTGGCGGTCGGTCCGCGGCTGCCTCCTGACACGGTTAAGAGCTTGCTGATTGAACAGTTGATGGATTTGGTCTCCTTTTACTCAAAATATTCACATGCTGTAAATTGTCATTTTGTGCCTGAAAATTTGTGCTCTGCCTCGTTATCTTGGGAATGTGCTGAGCTGCGTATTTCTGCGTTTTGCCTGTTTGCTTTGGGGACAGTCTGTTTGTTCTGGGAGGCCCCTGGCCCCACGAGCTGCCTCCTGTCCGTCCCCGCGGGGTGGGGGCCGTGGGACCAACAAGCAGGGACGGTGCCGGTGGGAGTCCTGGAGTGCACGTCGGAGACGGTGCCCGGCCTCTCCCGAGCTACTGCTCGGAGTCGGGGGCGGGGGGATACGAGCGTGGGACGTGGACCTCATCACAGGTGTTACCTAACGACAGAGGAGGGGTCCCGCCACCCCCAGCCTGGTGCACTTGGCTCGGCGGGAAGCGCATTCCTGTGTCCTTCACTGCTGTCTGCTGGGCACGCGTCCTCGAGCAGTTTCCTACCCACCTTGGCTTCTGTACGTGCGTACTACGGTGGGGCGAGAGTCTGAATAAACGTCTTTAAAAAACTCGAGCGAGACCGTTCCTCCCACGCGCATCTCCCCAGGAGACTTCTCTAACCGAAGTGCAGAGATGGCAGTGACCCTTCGTCGTGGCTGTTCCCAGCATGTGCTTGTTCGCGAGTGCTGGAAGGCGGCTGCCAGCGTTCAGCTCTGACTCTAGCCCTCCCAACCTACGGGTGGAGAAGGCCTCACCCTCCCCCTGGAGAGCTGACTGCTGGCCCCTCCTGCCTCCCGGGGCTGGGTTTCTCCAGGAACGAAGCCAGCACGCGACACCCTGCACTCGGACTCGGGCGGTGGCTGTCCCATGCGGTCAGGGCCAGGGCAGCGGCGCTGTTTGCCTTCAGAGGCCACCAGAGGTGGTCACAGATGGCCCCTGTCTTGGGCTGCTTGCGGGGAGCAGGCGTGCGGGGCTGTGCTCGCGTCTTGAGCCCTTTATGGCAGGGTGGGAAACGGGTGGGTGGCCCAAGACGTGCCCTTAAGCCAGCCGGGGGCTCTTCCCTTGCTTAACCCCTAAAGCTTGAGGCCGGGTGCCTGGTCAGGGGCAGAGCCGGGCTTCGCTTGCGACCTTGTCCCCAGGGCGTTGGGAGGGGTGCTGCCTGGTCCCGCCATCTGGCCCCCCGCCCCCCGCTGCTGCCCACCCCTGCGCCATGCCTCAGTCCCGTCTCTGCCGATTCGGGGGAGCCAAGGCGTATGGGGTACGCAGGCGTCTGCCTCTCCTGGGGGTCACAGCACTCCCGTGTCAGCGCCAGGCTCTCTGAGCCAGACTCCGAGAGGGACCGGGAAGGGGGGGCGGCCGGCCACTCCCGGTCCTCCAAGGACCCTTGCAGATCACTGCACACATTTACTTCCGTTTTCAGGAGAACGAAAGCAGTGCTCTTGTTATCCAGGGGGAGTTTTCTGGCTCTCCCTTTAAACCTGGGTTCTGTCTCCAGACCCTGCACCCCGGGGAGGGGAGGTCCCTCATCCACTCCTCCCGCCCAGGGATTTCGGGGCAGGTCCCCAAAAATACCTGTCCCCGTGCAGTGTGCTAACAAGTGGGAAGATTGCCAGACAGCTGACAGGTGCTGCAGGGGTGGTGGTCAGGGCCTGGGTACCAACCGTCCTATCAGCCCACTGGGGTCACGGGGCAGGTTTTCTTTGACTAATAAGCTCTACGTGATGCGTCCTGAGCATGCGGCGGGAAGGGTGGGAGGGCAGAGAAACCCGCTGGGCACCAGGCTCGCCCTTACCTTGGTGTTGGCCTCGAGGTAGTTGTACAGCACGTTGATGGAGATGGTGAGGTCCCCATTGTTGAAGGGGTACGACCTGTTCCAGCCCTGGGCCCCGAACTTGCGCCTCTCGGCCACCACGGCGTGGAAATAGCACAGGGCGAATAGGATGCACTTGAACTCGATCTCCTTGGTGCACATCTCCAGGGTGTCCTGCGGGGGGGGGGGGGG